CGCGATGCAAACGCGCCAAAGCGTGCCTCGCTGTAGGTTCCATCCCATTCCCATTCCAATTCCCATTCCCATCCCCTGGGCGCAGGGCCGCAGGTAGGTAGGTCCCTCCGGTCCAGTCTCTTCCATCAGATTCAGATCAGCTCGCGCGCGGCCGCGGCTGGCGTAGTTGCAGACCGGTTACTCCACCAGTCCACCGTGTGTCTCCTACTGTCCAATGACCCGATCGGCCGGATGGACCTGATTGACACGGCGTATCTGGTGGCTGACGAGGCCGTCGTCGTCTCGGTTGATTGGCGATCGAGATCACTCGCTACCTGCTTTTTTGCGGCAGTGGCGGGGCAAGGCCGGGCTCACCAGGCTGGAGAGACGAGACCCAGATACCGTCCTGTTCGCTTGAGAAACCTGGAGAAATTTGTGAGAGGAAAACATTGATTCGGATGAAAAAAAAAGCGGATGTTTAAGGGCATGCGAACGGGGCCACTGTCTCTTGGCTTACGGCCAATGGTTGGCCGTTTGCTACACTGCACACGGTTGGTTACTGCAAGGAGTCCAGACCAGGAGGCAGAGTCACCCAAGGCCCGGGCAGCTTCCGTCCGTTCCATGACCGTTCCCATATTCCACGTTCCAGGAACGGGAATGTTCCCGTTCTCGAACGGGGACGGGGACGGGAACATGGCTGCTAAGACCATGACCCCGCGCTCTTCGGCTTGCTTGCTGCCTGCTAGCCGCAGGAAGAGGATTGGAGGATTTGCATCCTTGGAGTGGAGGGCCACGAGAACGCAACACAACAAAAACCAGAGTCGCTCCACCTAACGCCACCGATCGCGTCGCTTGATTGGACGGGTCATTCCATTTGCCCCCAAACCCACCCTGCTGCTTCGCGTCCGCATAATCAAAACCATCACGTTCGGATTTTGCTCCAACAAACAAACGCATGTGCACGGTGGCGAACCGCTCTCCTTATCGCACATTTCGGCAATCCGTACGCGTGACGTGTCTGAAACTTTAGATGCTTGGCTTAGTTCGTTTCCTTTCCTAGTTTATATTGCTTTGAAACCTGCACATTATTTTCATGTGTAACCTTAGGGCGTGTATATACTAGAGATAAATAGAGCTAGAGATCATGCTTACGATCCATTTGGCATGGCTCCACATCTTTGCTTCTTGCTACAGTATGCGGAGAAGCCAGAAGCGGTAAAACCCTTCGCCAGCTCTTCATTTTGAAAAAGAAGAGAAACAACTACTCTCTTTGTCATAGAAAGAATGCAATTTTCGTATAAGTATATTTATGCTATCAAATAAATATCATTAGATCAAGTACGAAATGTATTTTCACAATAAATTGATTTGGAGCTATAAATGTGAATATTATTCACTACAAACTTGGTCAACACGAACCACTTTAGCTAGCACGCAACCCATAATAACATTCTTTTTGGAACAGAAGTAGTATTTATTTTACACGAAGAAGTTAGAGCTAAAAAGTTAGCCTGAGTTCCACCAAATGGGACCTTAAATGGACGATGAGAACTAAATAAATGGGTAGGAAAAAAGTCCAATTCTCTTTTTGTCTTTTTTTATCCTAACTTTATATAACCAAATAATTTCTTCCTCTAATTTAAAACAGCATCTAGATATCACCACATAACTAGGATATGGTACTCTCGTAGATTCTTGTGCTTAAACAAAGAAGACGACCTTATTCCTTTTACTATTTTTAAGCTTTTCATCAATTGATACACGGCTCTAATCATGGAACATTATTTATTCGTCTAATTGACGAGTACATTTCTCCTCTGAACATTTCAATCAATGGTCTATTATTAAACTCTTTTTGCACTAAAGTACAACAAGACAACAAACTGTGTAATGCGTGGGACAACCCGAGTATTATAGTAGATCAGCCAATGAAATCATTAAATGGTTGCAAGTGGATTTTATACTGAAGCGAAGGAGAGAGAAGAGAGGTAGACTGGGCCGTCCCCAGTGCTAGATTTCATTGCACTGTTTTCAACAGTAACTTGTATAGTTGTATGTGATGAAATGAAACAAAGCCCACAAAGCTAATTTCATTTCACAATTTTATAGGCCTATGCATTAAAATGTTGCATGGTGTGGTATATGAAATGAAATGCTTTCATGGGAGTTTCACTTGGTTTCAAACACGTGGGGATGGAAAAAAAACGGTTTCAATGGAGTTTCACTCTATTTTACAATGCGTTGGTAACCATACACACTGGATTTGATATTCTCTCTCCTCATAATTCCTATGCTACTCCCTCCGTCCACAAAAGGATGCAACTATGAGATCTGTACAAGTCAAACTAGTTTAACTTAGACTAAGTTTATAGTAAATAGTATTAACTTGTATGTCTCCAGTTAGATTTACTAGAAAAAATATCTTTCATAATTAATTAATGGTACTTATCATATATCATGAATGTTAGTACTTCTTTTATATAATTTTGGTCAAATTTTAAATCGTTTGACTACTTGAAAAGTGAGAACTGCGTCTTTTTGTAGACAAAGAGAGTGCGCCATTGTTTTTTGCTGATGTGTCACCTTATTAAATGAGAATAAACTCTCATTGGTACTGACTAAGTTTATAGTCAGTTGATACATGAATCCAAGAAACTTTATAAAAGAAGAAAATGAACAATGTATCAATGATGGAGTATATCTTAGTAGCTATCTACTATATAAATGAGCTGATATATAAGCTATAAATGTAAATACAACCAGTAGGAAACTATATTATTATATTACTTCATTGGCCATGCTCTATAAGCGACATCAATACCCCTTTTACGTGGAATGTTTTCCTCTATGAGCTTATTTTGCACTTTGGGTTTTGGGGGTATGGACATGGAATGATTCCCCCTAGCTCCAACGAGCTTATTTTTTGGACTTTGGGTTTTTTTTGGGTATGAGGAACACAATTTATATTAAAATTCTACTTAGATCCATTAGCTAATAATTCAGAGCTAAGAATTATTTGGATCCATTAGCACAAAATGTTAGCAGCTAAAATTAGTACTAGTAGATCCAACAGGCCTGTTAGTTATTAGCTAGGAGGATTCTATTAGTTGGTTTGGAGTTGCTAATAGAGACTAACAATTATATGCACATTCAGGTGAATCCAAACAGTCTCCTACTAAAAAAATAGCTAGCTAAAAGATAACAGTTATTAGCTAGCTAATTTTAAGTGGTATGTATCAAACAAGCCTAGCTAGCTAATTATTAGCTGATTTAGCCTTTTAACTAGTGAGATAAATGTTAGTTGGGTATTTAGCTAATCAGTAGTTAGACTTGTTTGGATAAAAAACTAATCATTAGCAGATAACTATTTGGTTCCTTTGGAACAAAGAATTTTCATAGGAAAAGCATAGGATTCTTCATCCTATAGGATTTGTTATTGTAGCACCCTTGGAACATAGGATTGTGGCATAGGGAAAATACAGGAAACTTTCTTTTGGTGCTTTTTTCACATTAATTTTATAGGATCCAAAACATCCACTCCAAGCTCATGTTTTCATTCATGTGTTAAAAAAAAATCCTGCGTTTTCAAGGAGCCCCTAGCTAGGTGGTGGTAGCCTGGTAGGTCGGCCCCATGGTGCAGTGACGATGCGACGCGGAGGATGGCTATTGAGTGGGGTCAAGACAACAGTGTCCTAGGCTCCTAGCTCGCTAGTTTAGCGCGGGCGAGCGACTATGACAAATTCAACGGGGGTTAGAGGAATGAGCAATTCATGGGGAGGTTAGAACTGAACAAAGAAAAGCAACCCAAGGTGGAAGATGAACAAATGTCCTTGGTTTTGGTTCACGATGGTGTGTAGAGGTCATTGATTTCACTCAATTAATTATAGACATACCCTGAAAAAACGGAGGCACAGTTACTTTTTTTTTTTGAAACAAAGGCACAATCACTATTACGCGATACATTTTGGGAGTTGAGTACATTGCGTGAAGTCGTTGAATAAACAACGGTAGTCTCATCCCATTCGATTAGCAGTTTGCCGAGCCTGATCGTGCAGTGTCCCGTAATTCATGCCACTTCCTTGCATTGCAGTTCAGTCCAGTCTCTCCTGCACTCTTCATGCAACCTCATCCGGCGCCCACCATCATCACCACTTTTCGGGTTTGGTATTTCCCGCACGCACGCACGCACGCAACCAACGCGCGTACGCGGGCCACGAAGTGAGAGTGGTGGTGGACACCCGAAGCCAAGCAAAGCGGAACGAAACGCAAAGCTAGCGGGGAAGAAACAACAAAGGAACAGTTCACAAGAGGAGCTGGGCTGAGATCGATCGATCCATCCCCTTCCACACCAACCTCCCACCGCGTCGCTTAGCGCTCGCCACCACTGCTCCGTCCCGCGTCGCGCCCCGCGCCGGCGAATGCTCCGGCCCTCCTCGCCGCAGGTGAGCACCTCCCAATTCCGCCTGTTTCACTCATTCGCTCACTCTCCTCTCTCTCTCTCTCTCTCTCTCTCTATCCCGGGAATACGGGAGATACTGGTGGCAGGAAAACCTCCCTTTCTTTTTTTTTGGCCATCTTCCTTAGATCTTTTCTTCCGTTTTTTTTTGGTAACCTTTCGCCGCAAAATTTGTGCTTCCGAGTCTTGGATGCGCCGCCTTGTTGCGTGCTGCATTGCTTGTGGGGGTAATCCTGTTTCGGTGATGTGCCTGCTGAGATTTAAGGCTGCATTTGGTGCTTGTGGGTTCAGTCTGCGAATTTTGGGGGTCCAATCTCTGCGCAAAAGGAGAATCTGGAGATCTGAGCGGAGTTTATGGATCGCCAGGTCCGAATTCCCATCGCTGCCGGCGTAAAAGCGCCGCCTTTGCCTTTGCCTTTGCCAGGCTCCTCCCGTTCCTTTCCGCTCCCGCGCCCGAGAATTTATTGCTCGAACGCGCGTCCCGTCCGCCGTCCGTCAGCCCTGTGCAGGCCCAGGCCGCGACGCCCTCTGACGAGCAGCCCGGCAAAGACGCAGGCTTTGCAGTTTAAATGCTCGAGCTAGTATTTGCCTGCAAGATTCCTTCCCCCCTCTGGCGTTTCTCTGCATCGCGCGGTTGGCCGGCTCTGAACTCCCCTCCTCCCGTGTCCCGTCCGCCGTTGCCCGTGCGGTCCTCGTAGTCGTGCCTCTCGATTGCTGCATAGAGTTGGCCTGTTTTCAGCTGCGTTTCTGCTTGGAAACCTTCGAGTTCATGGTGTTTTTCTTCTGCAAGAACCGCAGACTTCGGTAAGTGGTTTCCTTTTGCTTTTGCTTTCGGAGAGTTCGTTTGGGCTTCAGCATACGTCTCATTGGTTTCCATTCTTCCTAGTTTTGTACGTCTTCTCGTCTTTTTATCATCGTCTCTCTGTCTTTCCACCGATTAAATTTGCTGAGAACAAAATTGGGTCTTAAAAAAATGTGCCACTAGTGGTATCTCGTTACTCTCACTGTCGCCACTGCATCGTTCTGTTGTTGTCGTCGACTGCATCGTTCTGTAGTTGTCTCACTCACCTCTGAGCTCTGATTAAGTTAATACTAGCTCGAGCTTTGATATATCCTTATCCCATAGAGCACAAAGCTGTGTGCCTTTTGCCTTCTCTCCCCTCTGAGCTGTGAGGTTTAGTTTACCACTGTATCTGGCCCCAAAAAGTGCAGGCTTTAAAAGGCTTTTCGTGCTGAAAGATTCCTTTTGATCATAATCATAGATTTGTACTAATTAGTTTTCAGCTCGGTGCATTTGCTTATGTTAGTACCTCCTGATCTTTGCTACATTCCACTTTTCCATCTTGCCTGTTGCTCTGTCACCATCGTTTCATATCGTTGGGCGTGCCGGCTAACTTTCTTTTGGTTTCTATAAACAACAACAGGGCCATGAACCGTGCTCTGCTCCCCTTGCACAATGTACTGTATGGCCTATGCCTGCAAAAGCCCAGCTTTAGGCATGTGTGTTTTCTCTGAAAGGACAGCATCTTGCTACAGCGATATACTCTGAGTCTGACGTCGTGCCCGAGTTCAAAATTAAGGCTTGAAATTTTTCAAAAATTGATGCTGAGACCTAGGGGCACCCCAAAACTCTTCAAACTCTGGTTACCTATATATCCACCCACCACTCCGCTAGCGGATGGTACCAGCTAACTGTCGTGCTCCTGTCTTTCAGTTAGACTTCTTTAGGCTTTATAGATCTCAGGTACAAGCCTACTGTAGTTGGTAAAGTTTCATTTTCTTCATGTCCTTGCACTTATATCCTTTTTTGTCATAACTAATATTTTCACGACTCTCTATCAATGTTGCCATGCTCAGAGGTCGCGTTTATGATCAGAAGAAGGCAATGATCAACCTATTCGACCTCAGTGCAGGGATGTCTAGCACGAACTTGCTCACAGATCGAGCTCGTACAGATGGTACATAAGTTTCTTCCACTTTGAATTTTTGTTGCAACTTGCAAGGCTGTTGAATGCAATGCTCTACAAGACTTGATTTTAATTATCTTCTCTACTGGTGGAAAATAATACATTTCTAGAAGTGGTACTATTTGGTGCTGGTGAGATGCAATCTTTTGCAATTGGCCTGGGACAAATATTTCCGATGTCCTCTTTTGTGTGGGACTAGATGGCATTGGTGTCTTGTGGATAATGATTCCTTTGCACCATGTTTGCCATTTTTCAATCTAGAAGATGACATGCTTAACTTGCCTTTTTCTTCCTTGTTTTCCCCCTTCTTAGATTAACAGTGTTCAGAGGTTCTATTGCTCCTTTGAACCTTGCAAGGACTGATTCTCAAAACTGAAATTGCTGTACGTTCTACTTGGATATTTCAGGTTCTCCAGCATGTAGAAACAAGCAAGGTGTCAAGAGAACAGTTGATTCTGCTAAAGTTTATGCCAATGATAAAGTAGTAAGTAACATGTCGTGTCTGTTACTACCATTTTCTTTAGGTGATTTTGCTACTAAATTTCATTGAAGTGATACATTTTTTTGTGTTCTAATAATAAGAATATTGCTGCAGGGAGCTAGTAACTGGAGCTCATCAAGAAATAAATCAAATGCATCTCCATTGAATGTGGCATTAGAAAAGGAGATGTCCAAGGAATTGGAGTCAAAGAAGAAGTCACCAAGTGTGGTTGCTAGATTAATGGGACTTGAAGAAGATCTACCTGGTCAAGAGCCAGCATTACATTCTGCTAAAAGAAATGTGAAGAAAAGACACTTAAATGGGAATTTGGTCGAAACAAACAATCTCCATCAACATCAAGAGCAGTACCATTCCAGTATGACAACATGCGACAAACCCATAGGACCCAAAGAAACAGTTGAGTTTAAGGATGTTTATGAAGTCAGTGAAGAACCATTGAGAACATATTATCTTCAGGACCAAACTTTTCCTAGGGAAATGTCTTCCAGGAGCAAGAGGGACATAAGGATGGAAATTGTTCGTCAGAAGTTCATGGAAGCAAAGTGTCTTGCTACAAATGAGAAACTCCTCCATTCAAAGGAGTTTCAAGAAGCTGTTGAGGTTCTAAGTTCTAATAGAGATTTGTTTCTTAAGTTTCTTGAGGAACCAAACTCTACTTTCTCAAAGCAGCTAGCTGGACTTCACAGAAGCCCATCACCACCTCAGACAAAGCGTATTACTGTGTTGAAACCAACTAAATTTGTTGAGAGTGAATGCAGAAGGGAAATCAGAACACACAGAATAAATGAAGAAAATGAACGTGTGATGCGGAGGACACACCGGAGATCTCATTCAGCAGAAGTTACCTTATCCCAGCCAACTAGGATAGTGGTCCTGAAGCCTAGTCCTGGCAAGCCTAGTAGAACAATGGCCAGGCTAACACCCCAAGCAGCCCCAGCTCGGTTGACTGAGCAGATAGGTTTTTATGGAGGTTTAGAAGATGACAGTTACCCACCAGATGGTCTACATCGGCGGGATGAGTCTTTATTATCTTCTGTATACTCAAATGGCTATGGTGGAGATGAAAGCTCTTTCAGCAGATCAGAAGTTGACTACATTGATGAAGAAGATGGTAACCTAAGTGACTTGGAGATCGTTAGCCCAGTATCGCGGCATTCATGGGATCACTTCAAAAGATACAACAGTCCTTACTCAGGTTCAACTTTTAGCAGAACATCACGGTTGCCTGAGTCATCTGTGATCAGGGAAGCTAAAAAACGGCTTTCAGAAAGATGGGCGTCAGTAGCATATAATGAGACCGACCAAGAAAAGATGCAATTACCAAGAAGCTCAAGCACTTTGGGAGAAATGCTTTCCCTTCGAGGAGTCATCAAGAAAGAAGTTGGTGGTATGGGTTCTGTTTCAAGTAGTCGGCCATGTGATGCTGAGAATGAGATGACCCTGCAAACTACGTGTATAACTGCTCTTAGAGAGAATGAAGGAGATGGGCAGAGCTCTCCAAAGTCTTTAGCAAGATCAAAATCTGTCCCAGTGTCATCGTCCATGTTTGATAACATAGCACCAAATGCCCCATCATCAAATTGTGAAGGCTGTAAAACACCAAACTCGGCTACAAGGTCAGATAAAGCAAAGTCATCAATCAAAGGGATAGTTTCGAGTTTTTTCTTCCCTAAAAGTAAAAGGCAGTCAAAAGAGAAAATCATCCTATCTTCTAGCTCTGATGGGAAAGTTGAAGTCACTTGTTTTGGCAGCATGAAACCACAGGGTAGCCATAATATTGGTGCTATGCCATTTTGTGAGGACAAAGATGATAGTTCTACTACTCAAACAATATGTTCTTCAAAAGTAGGCACTTAAATTATTTCGCTATGCCCTTACTGTTCTTTTTTCTTGTTGCTTTCATCATTTCTGCTATAATTTTCTGTGACTCTTTTTTTCCTCAATACGTTTTATTTTTGTTCTCTACTTTTGTTATCCTCAGTAAACTGACGATGAGACACGCTGCAGGATATTATCTCTATTGAAGTACCTATTTCTTCGGCCTGTCCAAGTGAACATCTTGATGGATTTAGATCAGGTGGTCTGAATGGTAGCTGTGATAAGCCTAGTCCTACTTCAGTTCTTGATGTATCATTTGAAGATAGCAACATTAATGGATCTGAATCATCAAGAAGCATTCCTTGTAGCAATGAGAGTAAGTCTTGCTCCCTCTTTTGACTTGTGCGTTTACTATTGCTTCCTTGTTTTTATACTAACTACCTCTTTTATCATATCGTAGGAATTACCTTACGATCTGATGCAATTGACTCTGTCACACGAACATTATCATGGGAGGATATGAGCTCACCTTCACCTTTACTTGATTTGACAAACTTAACCCCTCTCTCGAGCGTGGACAATGATGAACTTGAATGTGTTGCCTTTGTACAAAAGATTGTATCATCTGCTGGGTTAGGCGATCTGCAGTTGGGTATGGTCTTCACAGGCTGGTACTTGCCTGATTGCCCTCTAGACCCTGCATTGTGTGACAATTTATTGGACCGGAAGGAGGAGGCTGCTAAGTCAAGGGAGCGAAGGTCGAACCAAAAGCTTCTTTTTGATTATGTGAATATGTCATTAGTTGAGATTGGCCATGACACCTTACTATGCGCCTATCCCTGGAGGCAAGCGTGCTCAATGGCCTGGAAGGAGACCCTTCCTCAAGCTTTGGTGGAAGAAGTACCACAGCGTATGAGGGACTGGCTCTATGGATTAGGAAAGTTTGCAGTAAATGAGAACGACGATGCTGGATCAATACTGGAAAGAATCATGCAGCAGGAGGTGGAAGGAAGAGGTTGGGTGAAGTCCATGAGATGGGAATTGGATGAGATCGCGGAGCAGATTGCAGGGAAGGTGCTGGAGGAACTAGTAGAAGAAGCCGCGGATGATCTCGGAATTTGTTCTCCGTGGCCAGAAATGCCAGTGACAATACCAAATCTGTAGGTAGCAATTGCTCTGTGTATGAGAAATGAGACATGCTCTTAAAATTATTTTGTGCTGAAAAGTCTCGGGCATCTTCATCTCTTGTATTTATGTTCACATAGTTATTGCTGTAGTACTTCTGAATATGCGCTACCGACCGTAGAATTTGAATTTGTTTCCCTCGGCTACCCTGAACTGGTAAGCACCAGCACACTTATTTATTGTAGCAGAAGATATTGAGAACAACCCACATATACAGCACAAGTCCAGCGCTGATCGGAAGCTCTGCTTCTGGACGTGGCAAACTGAACTGATTTGTTATATTACCTTTGGATATAATATATACAACTCTACCTGTACCTCTACCAGACACATAGTTGTTGGTGAGTATACCAACTACCTACTACCGGAGTACAAGAGTACACCAACTACCTACTCCTAAGGTAC